ATGTGCTGAAATGTTGATTACTGCTATTACCTGGTGGTTGAATGAAACTATGTTAATTCAGTTGCTGGAAGAATTGCGTGAAAAGCAAAAACAAGAAGCAAACATGCAAGAAGAATTAGAAAGTTTGAAGCAATCCTTGGCATCTGAGAAGCAAAACCTGACAGAAGTTAGATGTGATCATGATAGGCTTAGATTATTGTGTGATGAAAAGGATATGGCACTTCAGGTCAGTGTGACTAATTGTATTTGCACCCAATGTGCTTTAAATATTCTAACTGGATTCTCAAATCTATTAAGGCTGCACTACTAGAGAAAAAAAGCGTGGAAGCAAGGCTGCAAAACTTGGGTAATCAATTGGCAGAGAAAAATAACAAAACACAGCAAGTTGGTGGAAATAACCACGTAAGTTTTTTATGAAAATACATTTTGGTATCAATTTAGTTAAGTTGGTTCTATCAAGTGGTTTATGACAAGGCTCTCAAGGTACCCACCTAGCAATTGCTAGAGTTTCTTGCCTACCAAATGTTGTGGGGTCAGGCGGGTGGCCTAGTGAGTAGTCGGGTCAAAGACCCGGAGACACTAGATTCAAAAAAAAAAAAAAAAAAAGTGGTTTATGACAAGGCACAAGGGATTTTGAAAACAATATCTTACACAGGCATTGCAGAAGCTCGAAGACGAAATAAAGCTTCGTGTTGAGGAGTTGTTAGCAAAAGAAAAAACTATAAGGAGACTATCTGATGAAAAAATATCATTGGAGCAAAGACTTTCTGGGCTCAAAAAGACTAAATCTGTTGAGGTTATTCCCTTGATATCTTAATTTGGTGTTGGTTCGTTGTTTCTTTTTTAATGATTGTAATGTCTTTGATTCTGGTACCCAATAGAAGAATCAAATATCTTAGTGAGTGTTCATTATGTAGATTGATTCTGTTGAGAAAAAATTTGAGCAAGAGCGTAGAGCGTTAAAGCTTCAAGTGTTTGAACTTGAAAAGAAGCTTGAAGGAGTTAACCAAGAATTAGCAGGTCTTAAGTCAACTCTTGCCACCAAAAACTCTGAGGTTGCTGAATTACAAAGTAGCTTAAAGGAATTGGAGGAACTGAGAGAAATGAAAGAGGTAATGGTCCTGTATAGATTCTTTAATAAAGCGTTTTCTTTCGTTTGTTGTATTTATTTTATGTACAAGGTTCCAAAAATGGTGAACATTGCCAACAAAGTCATGTTTGATTTCAGGACATTGATAGAAAGAACGAGCAAACTGCTGCCATCTTGAGGATGCAAGGAGCTCAGCTAGCTGAGATGGAAGCGCTTTACAAGGAAGAACAACTTTTGAGGAAGCGATATTTTAATACTATAGAAGGTTGTCATTCCTTGAAATCTTTACAATATTTAAGTTAACCTTTTGTTCTGTCCTTTTAGTATCACTGATGTGATGTTTTTTCCATTCTATATACTTTTCAGATATGAAAGGCAAGATTAGAGTCTTCTGTCGATTAAGACCTTTGAGTGAAAAAGAAATTACAGAAAAGGAAAGAGATACAGTTAAAAGTGTAGATGAGTTCACAATTGAACATCCATGGAAAGATGACAAACTGAAACAACATATGTATGATCGTGTATTTGATGGTAATGCCACCCAAGAGGATGTCTTTGAAGATACCAGGGTAAGTTTTTTTGTATTAAATGGTTTCATCGAAAGAGATCTAATTTTTTTAATTGCTATGAATATGCATTTGTAAATCATTTCTAACATTTTTTTACGTGCATGTAATGCAGTATTTGGTACAATCTGCAGTTGATGGGTATAATGTGTGCATATTTGCATATGGGCAAACCGGTTCCGGAAAGACATATACCATATACGGTTCAGAAACTAATCCTGGACTTACTCCACGAGCTACTGCAGAGCTGTTTAAAATATTGAGGCGAGAGAACAACAAATTCTCATTTTCGTTAAAGGTATCATCTTGTTGGTTCTGTACAATGAACAATTTTAGTGGTCGCCACTTAAAACCCTTGCAAGAGCAAGATAACATTGTTAAATGCTTTCGTTTCCTATGAACATATGAAACTTCTGTACAGTAAGTACAATAAAAACGTCCCATATAAATAGAAGAAAATGGGGAAAAAAAAAATACAAGATGGACAAGAAGTCTTATCATATCTAGTTTAACACCCTAAAAAATATACGAATTACATTCATTGTTGTTTAGGCTTTTGGTAATGGTTTTTTTTCAGTTACTACTTGGTAATGGTATTGAGTAAATATTTTTTACGCAGGCATACATGTTGGAGTTGTATCAAGATACACTTGTAGACCTTCTCTTACCGAAAAATGGCAAGCGTTTGAAATTGGAGATCAAGAAAGATTCAAAGGTAATCTCTTTACATGTCTGTAATACTTTGTAATTCTACGAGGCATGTTTTTTTTTATTAGACTGTGAAGAGTATTTTTGGTTAATTACATTTGATCCTGAATTCATGTTATTGAATTTTTTTAATATTCTGATCTGTTGATTAGTATCACATCTTTAAGGTCGCTCAATGGTTGATTTTGTAATGTTAGGGTATGGTCTCGGTTGAGAATGTAACAGTTCTCTCAATTTCATCACATGACGAACTGAAAAGTGTCATTCAAAGAGGTTCTGAACGAAGGCATACTGCTGGAACTCAGATGAACGATGAAAGTTCAAGATCACACCTCATAGTTTCTGTCGTCATCGAAAGTACCAACCTTCAAACCCAATCTGTTGCAAGAGGAAAGGTATATTAATATATTTCAAAATAAATAATTAAGGTGATGCACATTGGTTTGCATTCACTTCAGGTCTAGTTGAATATTTGTTTTGAAATTATCTTCATTAATATCTTTCTTTTACATAATCATGTGTAGCTAAGTTTTGTGGATCTTGCTGGTTCGGAAAGAATAAAGAAGTCGGGCTCTTCAGGTAGTCAACTTAAAGAAGCGCAAAGCATCAACAAATCGCTTTCAGCACTTGGGGATGTTATTAGTTCTTTATCTTCCGGTGGTCAACACATACCGTACAGGAACCATAAGTTAACGATGCTTATGAGTGATTCACTTGGTGGCAACGCCAAGACGCTTATGTTTGTAAACGTTTCTCCTGCTGAATCAAATGTGGACGAGACGTACAATTCTCTAATGTATGTCACACTTCTCTTTATTATTTACTTTGTCTAATTTCAAATAATTTAACCCTTAATGTTTCTCCCAAAAGGTAATGACTACTATTTTTTCACACCTTTATGCTAAATTCAGGTATGCATCAAGAGTTCGATCAATCGTGAATGATCCAAGCAAAAACGTTTCTTCAAAAGAAATCATGCGGCTGAAGAAGTTGGTTGCATATTGGAAAGAACAAGCAGGCAAGAGAGAAGACGACGAAGATTTGGAAGAAATTCAGGATGAGCGACCTGTGAAAGATAGAGATGGCCGCCATTCCATGTAACTTTTCGCAGAAACTAGATTGGCGAAACTTGTAGTTGGAAATACTAGCATTACAAGTTTAGGCAGAATTTTGGAATGTAAGCTTTAGGGTTTCAGCAGGGTAGGTAGACCACATCGAGCGAGCATACGATTTGGTTCTGTGTTCTAGTTGATACTCTCGTTTTCTCATTGTGTTGTGATGAAAAAAGGTTGTAACCGGGTTAGGAGGATATAAGCTGTACAGTGTGGATGGTGTATATATGACATACTCTTGGTTTTATTTGTATATGGAGTTTCATGCTTGTTTTCTCCATATTTTTGCTTCAAAGTAAAATACAGTCACTCAGATTTTATCCCAGCCAACGCAAAGTGAAACCAAAAAAAAAAAAAAAAAAAAAAAAAAAAAAAAAAAAAAAACAGTTGCAGGAGTGATGAACAAATCTGGTACCCTTGTGCCTGTTCATCCTTTTGCCCTGGCACTCCCTTTGTCGATGGAGACTTTGCTCAGGTATTACGTTGATACTCTATTTATGTCATATCAAGACTGTCTTGAAAGGAGGCAGATTCTCTGCCCTCCCACTTCCCGTGTCCTCTTGTTTGTGTGGTCACGGTTAAGCTATGTCAACATTTTATATTACTATTTCTTTTTATCTTATTATCTCTATAAAAAAATTAATATAAAATATTGACGTGACTTAACCGTGATCACACAAAATAGAAGAGCACGGGAAGACACGGAAAGTGGGAAGGAATCTACCTCCGTCTTGAAATTATTTGCTATCGAGATGAAAGGAAAAGACCGACGTGACTATTTTCTACAATAATAATGCTATTTAATAACACCGTGTTGTTGATTATTTTATACCAAGGCATAGAGCAATGGGAGGCTGTCCATTTCTCTTCGGGCCAAAGGAGGAGGCGATGGAAGCTCCGCCAGAACTCGTGGATTAGGATCATCCTCATCTCTACGTCCCTTTTGTGTACAAATGTTATAGAGCTCGTTTGACAAATGCTTTTAAATGACTGACGACTCTTTTAGAAAAAATATTTTTGTGTTCTAAAAGCACTTGAAGTGTTCCAAAAACATTTTATCTAAAATTGCTTTTAGATGTTTAAAAACACTTGCCAAACGATCCTATAGAGTTAGCAAGTTCAAACTCTCCAGAAAATTGAAAGCTGATGGAGCCCTTGCACTCCTACCTACGCACCCCTTGCTAATTTGCTGATATGTATATGGCAAGCTTAGGTAGCATATATCATCCTGCCTTTGGCCTATGTTAAACCCAGAAAACAAGATCAAAGCATTTGTGGTATGCTAGTATTTATCTTGTACGTGAGGTTTTAAGTTCGAATCATCCTCTTAGAGTTTGTACAAGAAAAATAAAATTTCAATTGAATTCTTATCGAACTTAATTATAAAATATAACTTTTATCAAGCTTAGTTGATACAAGCAGTGAAGCCCGCGCGATTCTGCGGGTCTCAAAATTGTCTTAAACGTGTAAAAAGTAGGGCATATATACGTGAGAAAATATGTGCCAGAGAGTACGCCATAGCCATAACCAAAGTACTATTTACATTCATATATTACATGACAAAAATTGGGATGGTAGTACACCATAGCTAGAGAGTACTATTTACAATCATATATTACATGCCAAAAATGGAGGATGTTAGTATGTCATCCTCATGGATTGTTCTTCAAAAGCTATGGTCCTATTCCCAGGGAGACTATAACGTTTAAAACTGTACAAAGCTCAAAAGGTAAGATTTGTTCCACTAAAGACACCCATATGCGTCGTTAATGATGTCTCCTTTGTCTTGTACGATAACGATGAATTGAAAAAAAATACAAAAAAAATTAAAAATAGAACTCGATCACTTAAGAATTGAATGAATCTAAATTGCATATGATTTGCAGGCACACAAAAATTAAAAAGTAAGATTGGTTCACATTTTGTATTAGCCATTCAATTTAGTACGCACCTAAAAAAAGCATAAGCAAAAAACAATTTCTCATTCCTCAATTTCTCTCAAATCAAATAAAAAAACTCATTGGCGCCAAGCTAGTGCATAGTAATAGGATCCCCAACAAAATTATCATAAGCAGCAGTTACAGACACTTTGCATATATAAATCAAAACCCATCTTATCATTCATTACTGTTTTTTTAGGTCATAAAAAGCAAATAATACGGTCAAAATAATACGATAACTAAAAAACATTGGTATTTCAAAATCTCTAAGCTAACATCCAATACTCAGGTACCAAATGTACAGTGAGAAAGCTGGACATCATAAAAGATATTCAAAAGGAACCCAATAAACAGAACTAAGGGGAAGCATTGCCTATAAAAGGAGCTGCATAATAAACTTAAGAGGAAAGATATAATCAAATCATGTTTAGTGTAAACTATTTCACTAATCCTTATCAATCAAACTTAAAAGATCCAAGCCGACCATGAAAACTGGCCGCAATGACTGCTTACTCGAGGGATCAGAGACGAAAATAGAACCCAAGGAGGAGAAAGAACGGTCAAAGCCAAAGTTGTGGGTTTGAGGAAAAGTTGAGGAATTTGGGTCTGAGGACTTTGAGAGCTACAAATTCAGAGTTTTGAATACTTTCATTAGTTCTGGATATACATACAACTAATTAAAATTCAATCATATTAAGGGACAATAATTAGACTATACAACATTGTTGGTTCCAACACAGCACTCTGTACACAAAATCACTAAAAAAAAAAAAATCAATAGATAACCTACTTAATAGATTAATACAGGCAGATGTGAATTTGGTTAGTAATTAGTTCTTGAGAAAATTACTAATCTTTAATTAATTGGTATTTTTATTCCTACTTAACAAACCAATTTGAATGGCTTAAAACTCAAAAATTGTGAAATTTTATAGAAAAATTTCGGCCAGACCTTGTTTCAAAAACATTGCTATGTTCTTCCTCAGGCTACGGAACAACTCCTCCACCAAAATTGATTTACAGAATCTGATTCAAGCCTAATCATTATGAATCATGCAACTATGTCCAGCATAAATCAATTTCTATGAAAAACGCTTCGAAATAACTTAACCAATCAGTTGCCCCACAGATAACAAATCCCGCCATTGCAGAAGAGTACCATTCATTCATGATCATCCTGCATACCAGTTCCAAATTCTCAAACTTCAAAGCAAATAAATTAATCAAAAACATAAAAGCAGCAATTTTTGTTCTTGAAAAACTAAATTAGTAATTGTTACCTTGCAAAAGTGTAGAAAAAGAGAGAATACAATTGGGGTAACTTTCGAAGGTGTAGAGTAAAAGTATTACCTTGGCTGGACCCAAAAAAGGTCTCAAAGGCCTGAAATTGGCCGAAAAAGATTCCGATCCTCGTCGAAAAAACCCACCGCAAGGTGGACTTATGGAAATCTTTGATCGACGGGTAGATTCGAGCATGCAAAGCTCACATGTTGTTGTTGGGACTGTCTGAGTCAAATAGTTTTGGTTGCAGGGCCAGCCGCCACCGGAAAACCTTTGAAAGTCGGCGGGAATATCGAACCCAAACTGGGTTCGAGCGTTCTAAGGACTTGGGCGCGAATTAAAATTAATGGATGATCGTGTTGATTTGGGGAAGGAGATGAAAAGGTTTGGGTTTGTGTTCGAACAGGGAATCGAAGTCGGGAGGAGCGCAACTATGAACGAAGAACTCACCCAAACATAATCCAATGGAAAGAATGAACCACCCAAAGCAGGAAGAAGAGGTGAGTGCGATTCCAGCTGTCGAGAGATGCTTTGGTCAGTGGCAGACTTCAAATAATACAAACTAACTGAGGGCAAAATAGGAAGCACACTGTGCTTATGAACAGTAACACAGTTGATTTTGAGTTTTAGAATAGATTGAATTTTTATAATTTTTCTGCTATTTTCTCATCATACATTCTACTAAACCTTTTTATCTAATTTGCTAAATAGATATTTTCAGAGGAGTTTCTGGGAACATCCAAATATTAGGCTTATCACAAAATTTGATATGCCTAGCATTATTGACGTTCAAAGCATCTCACTTAACCCAGAATTATTCAAAAAGGATAGTGATTTGAATCCCCTATAGCTATATATGCACTTCAAAGTCGATGTATATTCCAATTTTCTCTGCCCTTCAAATTAAGGTACTAGTTATTGTAAATAATATATTCACCATCTAACAGTTATAGATGCAATCGAAAATATAGAATATCATCTCTGCCCATATATACGTTACATGGTGAATGTCTTTAGCAACCACAAGCCAACAAGACTCCCCATTTTGCAAGGGTTGGAGGGAAAAGAGAGGAGGGGGGGGTAGGTTAACGTCTATCGTTATTGGTTTTTGCAATTTTTTTTGCCATCCTAAAAAAGTTATTAAGTAAATGATGCTGACGATTGAAAAGAAACATTAACAATTGAAAATGCATGCTGATGATGATTTTATGGCAAAAAAATTGATGCTGACGATTTGCATTAAAATGGGTGGCGTGCTAATCTTTATCTTCTTGCCGACCCCTTAATTAAACTTACCTTAATTAGTCAAAAAACAAATGCGTATGGTGCAGTCATTCAATCGCAAATGAACAAATCCAATCCAAATGTCCAAATAAAAAATAGAATTTGAAAGTCTACGTAGCTCAGTTAGTTAAAAGTATTTGAAGTCTCGAGTTTGATTCTTTCTTGCTGTTTGTATAAAAAAAACCAGGAGAAATAAGAAACAAACCCAATATTCAGAAATGGGAGGTGGAGAGGAAGACTGCAGGACAATCCCAGCCATTGACCTGAAAAAATTTCCAGAAGCAGAAGAGTACAGGAAGCTGAGGGAAGCATCAGAGACATGGGGATGCTTCAGGCTTGTGAACCACATGATCCCACCAGCTCTGATGTCGGAGATGATATCAGTGGTCAGATCTTTGCTGGACCTGCCCATGGAGATCAAGAAGCAGAACAAGGAAGTGATAGCTGGCAGTGGATACCTGGCTCCCAGCAAAGTCAACCCTATCTATGAATCTTTAGGGTTCCACGACTTGGGATCGCGTCAGGCTCTGGACAGCTTTTGCTCTCAGTTAAATGCTTCTTCGTACCAGAGGTTAGCTTTTGATCGTCTGATAATTTTACTATTGCTTAAATTTTAGCTAAGAGAAAACAAGAAAACACAACCTATGTGTCTAGTGCTGCTCAGTCTCTGCTGAGGTCAAATCTCAAACGATGATCGTTGAATGAGAAGATTGGTAGAACCTTAATCTCTAGATTAGTAAATAATGATATATATTATTCGGTCAACATGTCAACCCTAAACTCGAAGCTCTAAACTCTATTGACGACTATTTATTGAATGAAGAAGAAAATAAATTACAACCTTAATAGATTTTTCGATACTTGTATATGTTAAAAAGCCACTTGGCTCCTTAATTGCAAGGAACAATTCCTCGTTACCTACCTGCAAATAACAACAAATACTGAATTGACTTAAAATATAAAAACAAAAGTATCCACAAACATGTCAATTGTGATTTATCAATACTTAAAAACACAAAAACAAAAGTTTCTGCACATATGTTAAATTGTGCTTTAGCAAAATGTTATATACAATGGTTTCATCTAGAACATTAAAATCTAGTTGTTAATTTGAGCATACGTTGATGCATAGTAGAAAAACTCGTCTTAAAGTTGTTTTTGTCACTAAACCAACAGAGAGGTGATAGAGAAGTATGCTCAAGCAGTGTGCGAGCAGATTGTGGACATAGGGCAGAAGTTGGCAGAGAGTCTAGGGTTGGCTGATAGTGATTATCTCAAGGGGTGGCCCTGCCAGTTCAGGATAAACAAGTACACCTTCACTTCTGAATCAGTTGGATCCCTTGGCTTACGATCACATACAGACTCAGGATTTCTAACCATTCTTCAGGACGATGAAATTGTCGGTGGCTTGGAAGTAATGGACAAATCCGGCGCCTTTGTAGCCGTTGATCCTTGCCCAGGCACTCTCGTTGTTAATCTCGGGGATGTCGCTCATGTAATATATTGTCTGTTTAGCGTCCCTCAAATTCTCCAAGTTTGTAACATGTTTCATTTGTGCATATTTCCTTATGTTGTTAATATTTTATGTCAAGGCATGGAGCAATGGAAGGTTGTGCAATGTGAAGCACAGAGTACAATTCCGGGAGGCAAGAATTCGAGTTTCGATCTCTTCATTCCAACGTGGACCGGATGAGGAAGCGGGAGTGGAAGCTCCTCCAGAATTGGTGGATTCCGAGCACCCTCGACTTTACGTTCCCTTTACTTATGAAGATTACAGAAAGCTAAGACTCTCCGCAAACCTGCATGCTGGTGAAGCCCTTCCACTCGTACGCAACCTCTCGTAAAGAGTAGTTTGGTATTCTTGTGTTTTTTAAATAAACCGTTGTGAGAATAAATAATTATAAAGTAAAGTAATAAAGTGTTTGGTAAATTTTAATTGTAAAATGGCTTATAGCAACAAAACAGTGTTTGATAAACTTTTATGTAATACGGCTGTGAAAGTATAAAATGATCAAAATGGGTATGTGATAATGTGATATTATCAAATTTATGTTTATTTTCTTCTATTTTCATATTTATCTTTAATGTTTATTTTTGAGTAAATTACACTAAACTACCTTAATTATAAATTGTACCAAAATTTTAAATTACACAAAATTACTTTAATTATATATTGAACCACAATCTCATATTTTAAAATTGTAATGTCATACATCATCCTACCAATTCGTGACAATACTAAAGTCTCTGTTAGCTTTTCTGTTAAATAGTTATGTGGTAAGCTCGGGACTCACTTCTCAGCCAATTAGATTAAAACATTAATTAAGTATTAATAAATTAAAAAAATTTAACTATTTAAAAATTAAAAAAAATCAGAAAATTCAATTAAACATGCAGTTGGTAGAGATTCATTGTCTCTGTCTGTACCATCATCTTCTTCACTTCATCTGGTACATGACAAATTAAAGGTATTGGCTTATGGCTCATTTTCTCCGCACCAGCCACCGCTCACCGCCCACCCCCATCGCCCACTTCTATTACTAGATCTCCGATTTCTCTCTTCCTTTACTAAAAAAATTAGGAATTTGAGATTGGCCACTCAAAACCACAAAGCAGCAACCTGGCAGTGTTCAACAAAGAAGCAGGCTCCTCCTTCAACAAAGAAGCAGCCATGACGTTGATCTGGTTCTGGAGATTGACGGCGATGAAATATGTCGGGTACGTGGTGTTGGCGTGAATGCCGCGGCGGCGGCGGGGATCAAGAATTGGGGTTTCTCGGCGGCGGAGAAGGACTCGACGTTTTCTTGGCGGGTGAGGGCGTGGTTGCAGAGGACAAGGTTGGTGAAGCCTAGGCCTTGTAGTTTGTGGACGATGGCGGAGGAGGGGTGTCGGAGGAGGCGCGGTGTTGTGGTTTCAGTGGTGAAGGAAGGAAAGGGGGGCGGATAGAGGGGAAGAAGGGTGAGGATGGGTGGTTTGGCTGGGGTGGGCCCACTCCTCTTGATTTAACTTGTTTTGGTATAGAAGTTACTTTTTTTTTTAATTTATTTTTTTATTTTAGAAAAATATGAATTGCACTATCAATTAATAGTCAATTTAACAGACTAATTAACAGAAGTTTGACATTGTCACAAATTTAAAAATTGAGATATGACATTGCAATTGAGATTGGGTGCGATCCATAATTTAGGTAGTTTTGAGTAAATTATCCACAAGTCTAACTTGAAATAATAATGGAGGTTTTGAACATTAGTCCTTGTAAAATATTAAAATTTTAAAAAAACCTTGCAAAAGAGTAAATTACCAACAAGACGCTTATGCTTGTAAACGTTTCTCCTGCTGAATCAAATGTGGACGAGACGTACAATTCTCTAATGTATGTCACACTTCTCTTTATTATTTACTTTGTCTAATTTCAAATAATTTAACCCTTAATGTTTCTCCCAAAAGGTAACGACTACTAATTTTTCACACCTTTATGCTAAATTCAGGTATGCATCAAGAGTTCGATCAATCGTGAATGATCCAAGCAAAAACGTTTCTTCAAAAGAAATCATGCGGCTGAAGAAGTTGGTTGCATATTGGAAAGAACAAGCAGGCAAGAGAGAAGACGACGAAGATTTGGAAGAAATTCAGGATGAGCGACCGGGGAAAGATAGAGATGGCCGCCATTCCATGTAAACTTTCGCAGAAACTAGATTGGCGAAACTTGTAGTTGGAAATACTAGCATTACAAGTTTAGGCAGAATTTTGGAATGTAAGCTTTAGGGTTTCGGCACGGTAGACCACATCGAGCGAGCATACGATTTGGTTCTGTGTTCTAGTTGATACTCTCGTTTTCTCATTGTGTTGTGGTGAAAAAAGGTTGTAACCGGGTTAGGAGGATATAAGTTGTACAGTGTGGATGGTGTGTATATATGACATACTCTTGGTTTTATTTGTATATGGAGTTCGAAATTTCGCCGTCGTCTTTCATGTTTGTTTTCTCCATATTTTTGCTTCAAAGAAAATACAGCCACTCAGATTTTATCCCAGCCAACACAAAGTGAAATGAAAACAGAAAAGAAAAAAAAGACAGTTGCAGGAGTGATGAACAAATCTGGTGCCCTTGTGCCTGTTCATCCTTTGCCCTGGCACTCCCCTTCGTCAATCTTGGAGACTTTGCTCAGGTATTACGTGACTATTTTCTACAATAATAATGCTATTTAATAACACCGTGTCGTTGATAGTTTTATACCAAGGCATGGAGCAATGGGAGGCTGTCCATTTTTCTTATGGCCAAAGGAGGAGGCGATGGAAGCTCCGCCAGAACTCGTGGATTAGGATCAGCCTCGTCTCTACGTCCCTTTTGTGTACAATGTTATAGAGCTCATTTGACAAGTGCTTTTAAATGACCGAAGGCTCTTTTAGATAAAATATTTTTGTGTTGTAAAAGCAACATGTACTTTTAGCATGAACAACACTTCAAGTGCTTTTCCAAAATTAAATTTCATTTTTACTAAGATTTGGTTCCAAAAATATTTTATCTAAAACTGCTTTCAGGTGTTTAACACTTGCCAAATGGGTCTACAGAGTTAGCAAGTTCAAACTCTCCAGAAAATTGAAAGCTGATGGAGCCCCTGCACTCCTACCTACGCACCCCTTGCTAATTTGCTGATATGTATATGGCAAGCTTAGGTAGCATATATCATCCTGCCCTTAGCCTATGTTAAACCCAGAAAGATCAAAGCATTTGTAGAATTTTATCTTGTACGTGAGGTTTTAAGTTCAAATCCTCCTCTCCGAGTGTGTACCAGAAAAAAAAAACTTCAATTGAATTCTTATCGAACTTAAGTATAAAATATATCTTTTATCAAGCTTAGTGGATATTTTTATAATTTTTCTGCTATTTTCTCATCATACATTCTACTAAACCTTTTTATCTAATTTGCTAAATAGATATTTTCAGAGGAGTTTCTGTGAACATCCAAATATTAGGCTTATCACAAAATTTGATATTCCTAGCATTATTGACCTTCATAGCATCTCACTTAACCCATAAATATTCGAAAAGGATAATGATTTTAATCCCCTTTAGCTATATATGCACTTCAAAATAAATGTATATTCCAATTTTCTCAACTCTTTAAATTAAGGGAACTTTAACGAAAAACTTCTGGTACTGTTCACTTTAACGAAAAATCATATTTTTACATTAAAAAGTCAATCCTGGTACTATTCACTTTACCCTTTATTTTGTACTTATCGTTAAAACTCAAAGTTTTGAAGCTTTTTTCATTAGTTTTCCTTTAAATTAAGAGACTAGCTACTGTATGTTAATATATTCACCATCTAACAGTCATATATGCAATCGAAAATATAGATTATCATCTCTACCCATATATATGTTAGACGGTGAATGTCTTCTAGCAACCCCAAGCCAACAAGACCCTCCTCTTTGCGAGGATTGGAGGAGGGGAGAAGGGGGTTAACGTCTATTGTTATTGGTTTTTGCAATTTTTTTTGTCATTCCTAATGTTATAACACGTCTATAATTTTACCATATTTTTGAAAATTGTGAAATTATCAAAATGCTCTTAGAGGGTATGTGTTGACTTTCATTGACTTAGTAGTTAGGACACGTGTGAGATATTAATTATTATATTCTAATAGTATTTGTCATTACGGACAACTGAGCACATGCGTAGTGAAAATTGGAATAAGAAAGATTTTACAAAACCTGTATCAATCATTTTATTCAAGGTAGAGGGAAAAGATAATATCACTACTAAGAACCAAATACAATTCTTGTTTGTTCGGCTTGAAGTGTAGTTCTTGACATGTTATCTTCTTTTTGGGTAGGCGATACAGACTCGGTGGATAAATCCAAATATCATTCTGAAAAACCCAGATGAGAGCTACATCTACAGTAAGAGGTGGGGAAGCAGAAAGTGAAGGTTAAGTTGCGGATTAATGTATGGGTCATGATTCTGGTTATGTTTTGGAATTGGACCCAATAACGTTTTCTGGCGGGGTCAGAGAGGATCTATATATATCATTTCCTTTTTTTTTTTGGTCACATATAGAGAAATATAAGACAGACAGTTTTATACCTGAGGAGAAAGATAAAAAATAGCGGGCATTACATAGGGGCATGAAAGTATTGTTGCTAAAATTTGGATTGTAATGGTTTTTTTTTTTATTTTTTTTATTTTTTTTATTTTTGGAAATAGGATTGTAATGGTTTAGAGAAAATTGTAATAATAGTCTTTCAATTTTAATCTAATTAGAGTAAGGATTTCTCAACTAAAAATCCATAATCATTGGTTCCTCAACTCATAAAAAAGTGCAACTATGGTCATTTTCGTCAACTTTGTTAGAATTCTGTCACAATGAGTCATGCTGGAAGAATTATTGCTACAATTTGGTTAAAGTTGAAGAATCATTGCTCCAATTTGGTTAAAGTTAAAGGACCATTTCTCCAAATAGGTTAAAGTTAAATGATCATTGTAATTTTTCTCATTCGGTTTTCCATATTTGTCCTTTGGTTGAACTTCACACGCGTGACACGTGACTCATTTTGACAGAAGTTCTAACGGAGTTGACGAAAAATATGAAGCAAAAAATATCCCAAAAATTAGAGAAGACACGTGAACATTTGTGAACATTTTTTTAAGAAAGATAAGAATGCCCTCATTAAATGCTTGGAGCAAAAACCATTTTTTTCATGCAACCTGAAGCTGTTGTTGTTGGGCTGCAGCTCACGCTGGGGTTACATAGACAGCACCCCGAATTTTCTAGGCTGCTCCAATCTCGACGCAAGCCAATTTATGGCTTGTTTTTTATTCAAGCTGTACCCAACAATGTTGGGATGCCTACGGCTAAACTCAAATTTGGGTACACACCCCAACTCTAGTGTCTAATGGAAACCAAAATCAAGGCGTGATCATCACTCGAATAAGTGATGAAGTCATAATATACATGAACTCATAACTAAAATTAGTAAATTTTAAAAACTACGGAAATTTTGACAGAACTTCCCCTAATACATGGATAAGACAAATCAAAACACCTGCAAGTACGTACTTTATTTCAATACTTTTGCAAAGGGCCACAAGGCAACCCTAACTCAAGTGATTTGGTCTAAAGTCAACCACCCTAATTATTTTTATTCCGAATCAGACCACAATTCAACCTAACCCAAATGATATTCGATTTGGGTTGGATGCTCCAACTATGCTGTTTTGGATCAGGTCTTTTGATCCAGAGTTGGATGCTCTTTGTGGCACCATATATAATTCAGTTATGTGTTTTATCGAATCCGATCACAAATGAGATAGTGTGTTTAGAACATAATTTTTAAAAAACAAAGCAGCAAATCGAATTCCAATTTCCTTGCAATCTTTGATGTGAATAATTACTTGATGAGTGAAAGTGAACAAAAATTGCAAATTAAAATTGACGTGTCACCTCATAATTAAACCCAGCTCATCCTCCCATACACGAAACAAACACAACAAAATCTCATCTTTTTCCACACAAACAAACAGAGAGAGACAACGGCAGCTCAGCTTCCTTCATCAAGATTCGCACAATAAAGTTTACCCAGCTGTTCATCGATGGAGATTTCGTCGATTCCGTTTCAGGTTTCTCGCCATTTTTTTTCCTTCTTTTCGCAAGCTATGAGCTTTCATTTAGTAAAAACCGTTTCTTTACTGCCCGTTTTCACCATGCCTACGAACTGTTTGTGTTTCTGCCTCAACCAAATTTGCGAACTCTCAACATTCAAGAGCCCATCTATTTTTTAATCTTGTTAATGACACATATATGAAGATGTATACATATACATTTATATATATACACAGGATCAGCTCTGAGATTTTATGTATCCTGTGTGGAAGACAACAAATTGGCCTTGTATACAAACTCTTGCTACAAAGCTAATTTATCTGTCTACCATTGTATTAATAAGCGATCTAAATGAAGTATTATTACTTGAGTTATAGTTTAAACTAACACATTACCTTCACAAATTTCAATTAAGTGCCTCAAATGTTCGCCAACTTCTCAACAATTTCTTCCTGTGGCTTGTCAACTATGGTGCCCTTCTACATTCAAAAAGGGGAATGAAATGTTAGAGCATGAAAAGGAATCCATTTGATCTCGGTCATGAAAGTTTCTTGTAAATACCTCAGAGTCATCCAAAAGCCGAAGTGAGCCAGATTTGCGTTTCAGAAGATCAACAACAGTTTCATTGTAGATATCCAAAGCAGAAAATTTCAAAACAAAAATCCCTTTCTGGCGTCTACGAGAGGATTCCAAAGGCTATATGGTCATGGTATGAACTATGACGTGCATTCTTGATGTGTTTGAAGATGCCCCTCACTGCATTTTCGGTGATTCCTCTTGTGGTAAATGTCTTACCACTACTAGTCTGCCCGTATGCAAAAATTGTAGCAGTCAAAAGAAAATGTGGCAACTTAGAATCGGCAGAAGACCATGTTGCACGGGATATAATGTACATATAAGTCTACAAGTTAGTAGCTCGATGTTCAGTTACCGTTCATTCCTGTGAGTGCAGATAAAGCAACATCCTTGGCTCCTTCCTCGTAAACCTTCTGAGTTGAGCACATCAGGCCAAAAACCTTATCTGTCGCATTTAAATCACAACAAATGAGGTACTTGAGTAAAAACAACTCTATCAGAAACTTGACTCCGAAGAAAACAAAACGGAATGTACCAAAAATTACAATATCGTACATCAAATTATTTTCACACATCGAAACCTCTGCGCGGTTGACAGAATTCAGCAGCGAACAAAGGCGTACGGGTTTGAAGGCCGCTCATGATTCGGATTCTTTGAAAACTATAGTGTGCTCATCCAAGCAGTCCCAAGCTATAACATCATACATTACCTGCTCTCGCCTGTTCAGCGGCCTCAAACGAACAGTAACCAAAATTTTCTCCTCACTGACTTTTGAACCACCCGGAGCGGAACACGGAGTCCTTTGCAGCTTAGCCGAAGGTGTTGCTGGTGTCCCCGGCATTATATTCACTTACTAACCTCCACTCTAAAAGAACAACAGAAGCCAAATCAATCAGAATCATCACCGATCATAAAAATTCACATTTTCGATCTAGAACAATCCAGAGAATTCCTAGAGAACTACTTTTCTTGGATTGCAAAATTTAACCGATACAAATTGGCGAAAACCCTGGCAGGGAGGCCGGGGTTTGGACCCACTTCGGGTTGTAGACGCGTGTCACCCGTGCGGTAGTCACGTTCTGAGTTTACAAACAGGAAACGGGGTGATAAAGAGTAATGCTGTATAGAAAAAATTTGGAAACAAAATTTATGGGTAAATTATATAAAATTACTTTAATTATTAAGTCTGAATTTTATTGGAGTCAACCAAAGGAGTCCTAAGCCAACAAGGCTTCCTGCTTTGTGAGAGACGGAGGAGGAACGTCTATCGTAAGCTGTCTTACTCTTGCTTTGCAAATACGCTGTTTTCATTACTCGAACTTGTGACTCTTTGGTCATAATGGAGCAACATTTCCATTGCGTTCAAGTTCGCCCTCAAATAAAAAAGAGAGTACAAAAGATAAAAAAAAGGGTGTGAAGAAAGCCACTTAACAATCTAAAGTGCTTTTGTTGCAGTATTCAAGTAACTTTTCTATGTGCAAGATTGGTTTGACATACAAACATAGTAGCATCATGTTGCATTGCATTGTGCTGGTGAAAAATGAGCGCATCAGTAAAGAAAGATAAATTATTGTTGATGACATCAAGTTGTCACAAAAGTTACTTTCATATTAAAAGGTGGTATATATGAAAATACTTCGTATAAATCACTTTTGAAAAGAAGTTGTCACAATAATTATTCTCTTTTAGCTTGATTACATTCACATTTGAAGTTAGTAGGTAGGAAACTGTTTTGCAGATAGAAAGAAAAGCGAGGACTGATATAACAAGAGAGTGTCCATTGTCCCTACTACGCTGCATATACTAAGAAAAGTCCTGGAAGTTGTTCTTTTGATTTTTGGTCATGACTTAGTTGACTGGGAACCTTTGTTTACGTAAAGTTAGATTTCAACTAAGTGTTCAGACGATTACCGTTTCATCAATCAGTAGATATGTACACATTTTATCCTCCATCATTTTCTAAGATGAAAAGACGTGAATAAAAATTCATATGTTAAGTTATGAATGACTTACTGATGTTAAGAGTGAATTTCAAATCAGATAAAAAAGTAACTTTATATGTGTTTATAAGTAATTAAGTTACTTCTTATATTGTCAATTGTTTTTATGATGGAATCTCACGTAATGGACAACCTAATTTGATATCGAATTTATCATCTACGAGATTTGAAGATAAGATCTCTAACTTCTGAATGAAGAAGAATACCACCATATTATACCGTTAAATTTTCATGATTGTCCCAGTTTCTAGTTCATTGGCTTCCATCCACAAACAAAACTTTTATATGGGATAGGGTTCTTCTATATCGTTTGGTACGTGGGACGGAACGGGACAACTTTGGCTGATTTTTCGTTCCACCTCTTCCTCTTGGAACGACCCGTTCCACATCCGTGGAACACAAATTTATAACATTTTATGACAAAATTTCTCCTTATCTTTTTCAATATTTACATCATCTGTTCCGTCTTGTTCCGTCCCGTCTGCGTACCAAACGGTACCCTAAGTCATGAGTAACCAAATTGAAAGTCTGTGTTCACCAAAAAATAAAAAATAAAAAATAAAAAATAAAAAAGGAAAAAGAGGAACTCTGTACTCTTTTTGTCCAAGTTGAAAGTCTGGATTGTTTTTACTCCAACTTAAGTCATATTGCGGAACTTATACCTGCATGGTTTTAAACTCGACTTTTATAAAGAGTAATATTAAGAATATTAAATTTATAGATTAAATTTTGTAAATTAAATAATATGAAAATTGATAATTGAGTTATTACTTAAACATTAATAAACATGTTTATTTTTTTATTGGTTACACATCATTTAAGTTTTAATTTTAATCTATAAATTTAGTCTTCCTATCATTACTCTTTTGGAAATGATGAGTTTTATACCAAGAGAGAGAGGATTCTTGCCGGATACTCTTTGTGAGAATCTTGGAGATCTTCTAATCACATTTGTTTATCGTGCATAATGTCATCATTTTATGTCAAGTACAGTTTATATTTAATATTAAATAAAAAATTTACAATAATTTATAATTGCACCTATATAACGAATATGATTTAAGAATTCCTGAATCCTTCACAAAAAGCACACGGCAAAGATTTCTCTTCTATACTGATCTATTATTATAGTGGCCCACTTCTGCAAGTGGAGAGCCATGCGTTGAAGCACAAACATGGAAACTGACGCGCACGATCCCATCTGCAGGAGGTGACCCCACCCACGTGGGCTGTCCGGGCACTTGCTGCCTTGAATATTGAGCCCAATGGCACTTTTGACTAATCCAAAGGCAGACAAAAATTTATATATCCATATACTAGTATACATAAATTTATTATAAACACTAACAAACTACCACACTTAGATTGGATGTGTTTCATATATATATTTCATGTGTTTCGTGTTTTATGCATATTTATTAAGAAATTTTAACGAAAAGCTCCTGGTCTGTTAACTTTAATGAAAAATCATATTTTTACACTAAAAAGTCAATCATGATATTATTCACTTTACCTTTTATTTTGTCTATATCATTAAAACTCAAAATTTTCAAGCCCTTTTCATTAGTTTTTCTTATTTATTATGTGTTTTATTTTCTTTCATAATCTTTTATGAGTTTTTTGGTGTCGATTTATAGTGTAAAAATAAAAATCCAAACATGTACGTTTAATGCCATGTCAGTGGTTAATTTGATTTCCTTCATATTTATGGTGCTAATTAATATGTTTTATGTAAAAGAAATTGCATTCATCAGTACGCATTGCATGAAAAAGGGAAGAATAATTTGTCCAATATAATCATTTTATTATATAACCGAAAGAAAAAGGTAAATAATTGTAGCTGAGTGGTTTCCAACTAATAATAGTGTGATGAAACGATGAATTGACCATCAAGATCACCAGACATTTGAATATACGAAAAAGGAATGCGTCGGTAACAAAAAAACAAACTGTTTGATGAAATGATCTTGCAACGAAAGAGATGAGAAGTTTCGTCTCAACTTTAATCTTTTCACTTTATCAGTCACATTGAAAGGTAGTAAGTAAGAAGTTGCTTCATTGGTAGGGAGAAAAGCATGATGACTGATATATATAACAAGTGAGAGTCAATTGTCCATACACCCAGACCATCCTGCATATTCCAATTCTTTGAGAGGCTCTTTTCCTTAGTTTATGGTCTGGCTTTAATTCTCCTATGGCCAATCAACTTGTCCCTTCTTCTTCCTCCAACAGTACTCCTTCATGGACATACGATGTCTTTTTGAGCTTTAGAGGAGATACACGCACCAATTTTACAGATCATTTACACCATGCCTTTGACCGTCACGGAATCAATACTTTCATTGATCATCGTGAACTTCCAACAGGAGAAGAAATATCACCAACTCTTCTCAAAGCAATTGAAAACTCGAGAATTTCTGTCATCGTATTCTCTGAACACTATGCATCTTCAAGATGGTGCTTGAACGAGCTCGTACATATCCTTGAATGTAGAAAGTCAAAGGGACAACTGATAAGGCCAATTTTCTACAAGGTGGATCCATCGGATGTCCGAAACCAAAAAAAATAGTTATGATGCTGCATTTGCTGACCATAGCCTCAAATATAAGAATGACCTGGAGAAGGTGCAAAGATGGAGGACAGCTCTTACAGAAGCAGCAAATTTGAAAGGAGCTACTCTCAATGAGGGAGAGTACGTTTATTTCTGACCCTTCCTGTATATGGTTTTTGAGTTGCTTTACTCTATATTTCAGAATTTACTACTTCCTTTTACAAAATAATCTTTTTCTCAATCTAATGATATTTAGGGTTGTTTTATTCACACTACACATATGATTAAATATACCTCACATATTAAATACACTTCACATATTGTTGAACACACCTTACATACTATATAATTATGCAGGGCATTTCTGTTGATTTCAAATTAGAAAGTGACATACAATGCATAAAATAAAGTTTATCAATGAATTTTTACTTTTATAAGGGAGGGTGGGAGTGGCTTGGAGAGCGTGAAGCAAATTAATTTTTGGGATACACCTTAAAAATGATTTGGGGTACTCAAAATTTTTGTTTGATTTTTAAATCTTATTAGGCCTAAACAGTCATTATATAAATCTTTAATAATATGTAGTGTGCTAATAAAAACAACTCAAGCTAAATCAATAATTTTTCCAACAAAAAGAGAATAACAGTTATAAATTAGGGCTTAATTGATATTATTGTATTCTCCTAACAAAAGAAAAATGGCAAAAAAAAAATATATATAAGGTATTTTGATGTGGGTCCAAAGTAACTAAAAATTGGATCTATTTCAAAAGTCAAAAGTCATTAAAAATTAGACATATTTCACAAGTTAAGCTATAAAATTGGACCTATTTCAAATTTTTCCTATATATATTGTTGGGAATTTGGAATTTTTTTAAAAAGTAGTGTTGCACTTATCTTTTATTTGTATCAGTTCTTTAAGACCATCTCCAACCCTTGGGCTAAAAGCCAAATTTTTTAGCCCGGAAAATTTAGCTTTTAGCCCAGAAACATCTTTTCTACTCCAACCCTTCTACCCTAAAATTTTAGCCCGGAATTATTAAAGAATGAAATTAGCCTAAATTTTTTTCTTAAATCAATTTTTTTTTAAAAATAAATATGTAGATTATTGTAAATTAATTTTATGAACATTTTAATCTAAAAAAATTTAAATTCCGATAAACATTTCACATTTAGCCCGGGGGAAAGCTGGGGGGTATTTGGCCCAGAAATAGCATTTGGCATTTAGCCTAAAATTTTAGCATGGGTTGGAGAGTGTTTGGGGGGTAATTTGGGGGGTAATTTGGCTTTTAGCCCAGGGTTGGAGATGGTCTAATAGAGACTAGCATTTGTATACACATTTATTTATTTATTTTTAACTGTAGATGAGGCTTCAATAAAAAAAAAAAATTTGGACCTGTGAAATTACATTATTGCCCATCATTTTTTTTTTGTGATAGAAGATTAATTTGTCTTTTCACCCTCTTTTGGTTGATGAAGAGGGTTTTATTAATTAGTAGATATAAGGTTTACTAACATATTTAAATTTATCTTTTTTAAAATCGTTTGTTACTATGAATTATGTTAGTTGACTGAAGAATTAAGAAGTGCTTTTCACAAAAAAAAAAAAAGAAGAAGAAAAGAATTAAGAAGTGCTGAAATGAAAATAAGAATTAAGAGGCGTTCAGGGTCCGGATTGGATCAAGTTTACTGTTTGCCCCCAAAATAATTGTCAAATCAATTACGATATAACGATTTAGTTTGGTTGAAACTTGATAAAAATCTGAAACAAACCGAAGCAAACCAACCAACCCATAAGCCATAACCGAAGCTAATATTTTTTCTTTTGCACTTTTTTTTTACTTTGTTAGCACTTAGAGTAGCCCAACAATAACAAATAATTCCAAATCTGCCACATATTATTCATATTCGAGTACATATAACCACGCATCTTAAAATTCATCATGTCATCAAACTTTAATATAACTCTACGATATCATTATCTTTATATTCAACATCCTTATCTAGTTATTAGCCAATAAGAGTACTAAATGGGTAAAATAAAATTAATATAAGAACAAATAAGAGTACTAACTGCAATAAATTCATTATTAGGGGTGAATTTTTTCACCATATTACCGTACCAACCAAATTACCAACGGTACCACACCAATTTTGTGCCAATTTTTGTACTATATGTAATGGTGCGCTAATTGTACCATACCAACATAATTGGTATGATAATGGTATTTAAAATCAATATGTACAGTACCATAGAAAATTAGAATTAGATGCCTTATTTTAGACATTTATAAACTAAACATTTGTTACCTTCCAACTTTTGATTAAATTGCTTTCACATTTGATTAAACCCTATATTCTAGGTATATTCTTAACTTAACTGTTTTTTTAATTTTGAATTTATTTCCATATCAAAAATGCTAATATTAATTAATTAATTGCTATTTTTATGTATCTCATCACTTTCTCAATTTAAGGATTCAATTATATCTAGTGGGATGAAGATTAATTGGATGGAATATAATTTTATTCAATTTTCAACTCCACATTTTATATAAATTATAAAAAAAAAAGTCATTTTAAAATTAAAATAAAGACAACACAATGCACTAATAACTTGGTACGTACCGAATAAAAAATTGCACAACGTACCAAATGTAATATTTTATAACGTATCAAAGTACTAATACTTACACAAATTAAATTTATACAATTAACGTACACGAATTAAATTTATATTTAATATATGTGCATGTTATATCTCATAATTATATTTTAATAGGATATTTGATGTATTTTTAGAATTTAAACAAAAAAATATATTTTGATTTAGTTTGTTACTTTTAACTTTAGCTTCTATTTTATTTAGTTTGTAACTTCTATTTGGTTTTTAAACTTAATTTGTATCTTAAATCTTGATGCATGACTTGATTTACTAAATGTGTTTGAAATGTGAATGATGAAGTTTGATTATAACTAAATAGGTAACACGTATATTAGATTACCTCAATGATTAAAGATGGTGTTAAGTAACAACTTAATACGTGTGTATTATATCATGATTGATAAGACATTTTTACGGCTAAAAAATTTTGGGTTACATCTTAAAAATTAAAAGAATAACAATAATATGTTTTCGGCTAAAAAAAAAAGTTATCAATGAATTGGAGTATTAAAAAAAAGGTTAAGGCCACCAAATTGATAGTATCATTACCGTACCATGCCAACAAAATTAAATGTGTCATTGTTTTTTTTTTACCGGTAGGTATGAAACTACATTTATTAACAACATCGTTGTGGAGATTTCAACCCAATTATTATTAAATTGCACATATTTGCATGTGGCTGAGTACCCAGTTGGAATAGAGTCTTGTGCAAAAGAGGTGGAAGTGCTTTTAGATGTCGGTGGAAATGATCGTCGTGTAGTTGGGATTTGGGGGACATCTGGAATAGGCAAGACAGCAATTGCAAAAGGTGTTTATAATGCAATTGCTCATAAGTTTGAAGGCAGTTGTTTTCTGGTAGATGTTAGTGAAACATTGACAAAGTGTGAAGGCGTAATCCAACTACAGAAGACTCTTCTATCTAAAATTCTAGGTGGTGCAGAGTTGAACTTTGTCAATGCTCATGAAGGAACCAGTCTTATTAAGAATCGGTTGAGGCAAAAGAAGATTCTCTTAATTCTTGATGACGTGGATAATTTGGAGCGGTTAAAAGACTGGGTCGATGTCGATTGTTTCGGTGAGGGTAGCAGAGTGGTCATAACCACAAAAGATAAAAGTTTGCTAGATTTTTATGAAGGTCAGTGGATATATAAAGTCCAAAAGTTGGGATACGACAAAGCACTTGAGCTTTTTAGTTGGAATGCCTTCAAAAGAAATAGACCTCCAGATGATTATTTGAGCCTCGCACGACGTGCAATAGTCTATGCTCAAGGCCTTCCGTTGGCTCTTAATATTATAGGTTCTCATCTGCGCAATAAAAGTATAGATTGTTGGCAAGCTGTATTGAACAGTTACGATTCTTACAATGGAAAACCTTATACAGATATTCAAATAATACTTCGAAAAACTTATGATGCCTGGGATTGTAACTTGCAACAAGTTTTTCTAGACATTGCATGTTTCTTTAAGGGTGAAAATAAAGACTACGTGTTACAAATGTTAAGAAGTTCGACGCTCAATGTACCTGAAGATATTATTGATGTACTTGTTGAGAAAGCCATCATAGCTATCGAGTATAATTAGATTGTGATGCATGACTTGCTAGAAAAAATGGGTAAGCATATAGTTTACGAAGAATCACCCAATGAACCAGGCAAGCGGAGCAGGTTGTGGCATCATAAAGATGTGTGCGATGTTCTAATTAATTGCAAAGTAAGTAAAATATATGTTGTTACATAATTACATTTGATTTAATTGGCATGATTTTGAAAAGAAAAAAAAAAGATTTTATTGTGACTTGTTTGTTAACATTATTTCTCTTTCCATCTTAGGGAACAAAGAAAATTAGAGGCATTGTTGTGAATCTGCCCGAACCAGATGAGATACCCTTGAATCCAAAAAGCTTCTTGGAGATGGTAAATCTTGAATTTTTTATAAACTATAATGCACACTTTTCAGGATGCGTTGATTATCTACCCAACAGTTTGAGGTTGATTGAATTCGGTGGACGATCCAATATTGATCAAGGGGATAAGTATGTGCCATTCAATTTTCATCCAAGAGATCATAAGTATGTGCCATTCAATTTTCATCCAAGAGATCACAATCATAAGTATGTGCCATTCAATTTTCGTCCAAGAGATCTTAAGTATGTGCTCGATTTGCCATCCGATTTTCAACCAAGACATCTTGTTAGCTTTGATGTGTCATACAGTGGTATAAGACAATTGAAGGGATTTAAGGTACACACTTTAAATTATTTTGAAGCATTATTTATTTAGAAAATTGTTATTAGTACTTTAAAAATCTCATTTTACACTCAAAACTTTCTATATTAGGAAAGAAAATTACACTTGTGAAGAGTGTAGAATGTGATTTTTGAAGTGCCAATAACACTTCCCTTTATTTAAACATATATTTTTTTCTCAAAAAAATACCTAAGTATTTTATTATATTCTTTTTAAAGCATGTGAACTTATCTTTTGTTTTTGTTTTTGGTTTTATAGAATTTGGCAAAGCTTACATGGATGAAATTAAGTAATTGCGAATTCTTGGAAAAAATCCCTGACTTATCCGGAAGCCCAAACATAAAGTTCTTGGATCTAGGTTGGTGTAAAAATTTGGTCGAGGTTGATGATTCTGTTGGATTCCTCGATAAACTTGAAGTGTTGTCTCTTATTGGGTGCTCTAAGCTTACGAGGTTTCCAACAAGACTTGGATTGAGATCCCTTAAAAAGCTTAATTTTTGGTGTTGCACAAGGCTGGAGAGATTTCCGGAAATAGAGAAGGACAATGAAATCTGTGACGCATTTGGAGATACCATACAGTGGCATAAGAGAATTGCCCTCATCAATTGCGTATCTTACTGGGCTTAGGGTGTTGCTTGCACATTATTCTAAGTTGCAAAATGTCCCCGACTTATCCGGAAGCCCAAACATAGAGTACTTGTGTCTAACAAACTGCACAAGTTTGGTCAAACTTGATGATTCAGTTGAGTTGCAAAGGGTGAAGTTTGATGAAGTTTCATCCAAGCTGACTCTTAATCTTTCAGAATGCAATTTATCAGAAAGTGATTTCCTTGTGCCTCTTTATTGCTGGTCCGAATTAAGAGAACTTAATCTGTCGAGAAACAATTTTGTTAGCCTTTCGGATTGTATTAGCAAAGCTGTCAACTTGAAGACACTTTACTTGTGCGATTGCAAGAGGCTTCGAGAAATTCCAGTCCTTCCACCAAAACTAGAATTTTTAAATCTGAATGGTTGCACATCATTGGAGAAAATTCCAAAACTGCCCCTGACGCTTGAGAAGCTTATATTGTGTAACTGCTCTGGATTAAGTGGTGATGAGGTGGCAAAGTTGGAAAACAACTTGTTGAATGAGGTTGGTCTCTCTTCTTAATTTATGTTCAAATGAAAATTAATTTTGTTGATACTTGAAAGAGAGATCAGATCACAAATGTTTGTAATTTGTTAAGTATATATATCTACTATTGCAGGAATTTGATCCGCCCACTCGATTGAACATTATTTACCCAGGCAATGAAATTCCAAAGTGGTTCAGCTATACCTCTAACTATTCCACAACCAGTCAACATCTACCAGAATATGAATCTGACAAGGAATTTCGTTTTGAAATTCCTCTAAAATTACAAGTGGGGGAGACGTTATTAGGATTGGCTCTATCTTTTGTTTATGAACCACCGACTTGTAAAAAGTGGGAAAATGATCTTATTACGTGTATTATCATCGACGGAGAAAGAAGGTTTGAACATTATTTAGAGTATTCTGCGGACATAAATGCAACTCATGTGAGCCTTGCGTTAACGGCGTTAAGGGGTTTACGGGAGCAGGAGCAGCATGGAGATATTTGTCAAGTTGTATTTCGTTTCTACCAACTGTCTCCCGTTAAAAGCTGCGGCGTGCACTGCCTATTGCGCAACCAAGACAGTGGATCCTCATCTTCGGAGGATGGGGACAGTGGATCCTCACCTTCGGAGGATGAGGAGGATGAGGAGCAAGAGCAAGAGCAACCGTCCGACTCAGATGTTCTTTTTGATATTGAGGAGGATGAGGAGCAGCTTCACTTGCCTCTGAGACCAACGAGCAGTCTTGGGAAGAGGCCTCGTCCACGTGGATCCTCAGATATCGTCGATGATGCATATGATCAGCAACAGCAATGGCTTTCCTCATCTTCGGAGCCAGCAGATGATCATCCAAAACGCAGGCAGATTGATCCCAATGTTCCTTTTGATATTGAGGAGGATGAGGAGCAAGAGTAGCTGTCCGATTCAGATATCCGCAATTTCCCATTTTTATTTTTTTTTGTTTTTATTTTTTTGGTAAACTTCAATTTCTGATTTATTAGGAGTTTGGGTACGTACATATTTGTTTGCACCTTACTAATCTCTAAAATTAAGAGACTGTTTGATGACCATTTCTGTTTGCAAACCGAAAACCAATTTGTTCTATTGTCTTGCGTTTGCCTTTTTGTTTTCTTTTTATATATCTAAACTACATATTAATAGAACTCGTTGTCAACCAAATTCTTATGAAATTATCACTTTAACCGTCTATTTAAAACTGATTATGATAAGAAATATGGGTAGAATTGTAATTTCAAACTATCAAAAAAAAATCCTTCCAAAACTTCATCTATATGTGATTCTAACAAATCTCTAATTAAAAAAATTAAAGCAGCTCTCTTCCCCAATCCCACATTCTCTCTCTGTCTCTCTCCTTCTACTTTAAAAACAAAAATAAAAAAAAATTTATGCACATTTTGCATGTGGCCATATGCTAATATACGATAAAAAAGGGTGTGATGTCTACACACTCATTTTTACTTTTTACACATCTTCTAATTTTCGACCGTCGGATCGGATGAATTAAAGAATATCAAATGACAGAAATCAACAAGAGCGTATGAAAAGTAAAAAATGGTGTATGGATTGCACACCCCTAAAAAAATTAGTAACAATTAAAACTCAATTAGTAACAACTAGCGACTGTAACAAAAATCTACTAATCACGACTTCAAATCAAAGACTAATATCTTCCATTCTATCACTTACACTTGCTTTTCTCTTACCTAAAATCTAAAAATATCATCAATAAAAAACGAAAATATCATAAAGCTAATCAAATCAATGGAAAGTCGTTTCTACAAGATAAAGTCATCTACAAATCAACTCAAAGTCGATATCAAAAGAAATCTACCGAGCTAAGCTGGTTTGTACATTATTATGAAAAAGCATGAACAACGGACTTCCAAACAACCATCTAGGAACTTCCAGTTCAGTCCTCAAATGCCAGCAATGGAGAAAAGCTTCTCCAACATTTGCTCTTCTCAGTAATATAATATTAGTTTTCAATCTGCAGAAACAAAGAATTCATCTGTAGGTGGCTAGTTATTACAAAAACAGAAACCACATTTGTATCCTAAAGATCTCGGTGACTGCAAGTGAGTAAGCCGCCATCATACTCTATGAGTATGTATGACCGCAGTGCTCAAGCAACACCCATACGATCCACAACTCTTCTACGTGAACTAACTTGAAAAATGTTACCATGAGAATCAGAAGAGAAACTCCGCCTATGTAAGTTTATCTTACATTGCCGGTCCCAAGCCCGGATAAAGGAGGAGGGGGAGGGCGTCAGGGAGTCGACAGCCGGCACTCCATGATCACGTCGAATCCTTATGAAAATGAATCCAGAACGAAATCGCGCTAAAGCTAGGGTGTCACCCGTAAGTGGCGCGCTGTGTGGCCCGAGCACAGTGATAAGTGAGCAAGGGTCGCTGTATCTCCATCGGCACCCGGATGCAGTGTTAAATGAGCAAGGGGGCCATAGAAACTTCTTTTCGAACGACTCCACTCAAAGTTGTTTGGGAGCATATGCTCCTATCAACTTTACACGGGACACACAAAAGAAGTACTTTGATCCTATTAGACGGGGGAGAGTGAAGAAGCTAGGACAGAAGGGTTGAGTTCAAGAGAGCAAAATGCGTTTAGGAACGTGGAATATAGGAACCTTAACGGGAAAATCTATGGAAGTAGTGGAAGTTATGGTGAGGAGAAGGATAAATATTATGTGCCTACAAGAAACTAAGTGGGTTGGTCGTAAGGCAAATGATCTAGAAAACTCAGGGTTTAAACTTTGGTATTCGGGCACAAAATAGAACGAGAAACGGTGTTGGCATCATCATCGTGGACAAGACCTTGACACAAGATGTTGTAGATGTCAAGAGGGTAGGAGATAGATAGAATCATGGCAATCAAGATTGTAATAGGACAAGAACTTATCAATGTGATTAGTGCGTACGCACCTCAAGTAGGGTTGGATACAAGTTCGAAGGAGAAATTTTGGGAAGACCTTGGAGACTTGGTGCAAGGAATTGCTCAGATGGAGAAGTTATTTATAGGAGGAGATTTAAATGGACATGTGGGCAGGGAGACAGGCAACTATGGAGGTTTTCATGGTGGCCATGGTTTTGGGGAGAGAAACAAGGATGGGGAAGCTATCTTGGATTTTGCAATGGCATATGATCTCTTCTTAGCCAACACCTTCTTTAAGAAGAGAGAAGAAGAACATGTGATCACCTACAAGAGTGGGTCGTCAAAAAACACAAATAGATTTTCTTCTAATGAGGAAAGGGGATCGTATAACTTGTAAGGATTGCAAAGTTATACCAGGAGAGAGCGTGGCTAATCAACATCGCTTGTTGGTGATGGATGTACATATCAAAAGAGTGAGACAAAAGAACAAGACTTGGAAGTGCCCAAGGACTAGATGGTGGAATCTAAAAGAAGAAAAACAAGCCATTTTCAAAGAGAAGGTAATCACCCAATGTGTGTGGGATAGAGAGGGAGAAGCTAGCCAAATGTGGGATTCCATGGCTAGTTGTATCCGAAAAGTAGCAAAAGAGGTATTAGGAGAGTCCAAGGGCTTTGCCCCACACCAAAAGGAATCTTGGTGGTGGAATGAGGAGGTACAAACAAAGGTGAAGGCTAAGAAGGAATGTTGTAAAGCCTTATACAAGGAGAGGACCGATGAAAATGGTGAAAGGTATAGAAAAGCGAAGCAAGAGGCGAAGAAAGCTGTCAGAGAAGCTAAGTTAGCGGCTTACGACGATATGTATAAACGACTAGATACCAAAGAAGGAGAGTTGGATATCTATAAACTAGCTAGAGCAAGGGAAAAGAAGACAAGGGACCTAAACCAAGTGAGGTGCATCAAGGATGAGGATGGAAAGGTTCTTGCTACAGAGAACGCGGTTAAAGACAGATGGAGAGGTTATTTTCATAATCTTTTCAATGAAGGACATGAAATGGAGTGCTTCTTTAGGGGAGTTGAGTAACTCAGAAGAGTGTAGAAACTACTCTTTTTATCGTCGAATCCGGAAGGAAGAAGTGGTTGTAGCTTTGAAGAAGATGAAGCATAGAAAAGCAATAGGCCCAGACGATATACCAATCGAAGTGTGGAAAGTTTTGGGAGAGACAGGTATAACATGGCTCACTGACCTTTTCAATAGGATTTTGAAAACGAAGAAGATGCCAAATGAGTGGCGAACGAGCACTTTGGTGCCTATCTACAAGAATAAGGGCGACGTACAAAATTGCATGAACTATAGGGGTATTAAGCTAATGAGTCATACAATGAAGCTCTGGGAGAGAGTCATTGAGCATAGATTGAGGCAAGAGACACGGGTTTCGGACAACCAATTCGGGTTCATGCCAGGGCGCTCAACCATGGAGGCAATCTATCTCTTACGAAGATTGATGGAAAGATATAGAGATGGGAAAAAGGATTTACACATGGTCTTTATAGATTTGGAAAAAGCGTATGATAGGGTCCCAAGAGACATTCTTTGGAGGATTTTAGAGAAGAAAGGAGTACGAGTAGCATATATCCAAGCTATAAAGGATATGTATGAAGGAGCAAAGACTGCCGTAAGAACTCATGAAGGACAAACCGAAAGCTTTCCCATAACTGTAGGATTACATCAAGGCTCATCCTTAAGTCCTTACCTTTTTGCGTTGGTAATGGATGAGTTAACAGGACATATTCAAGATGATATTCCTTGGTGTATGCTTTTCGCAGACGATATAGTGTTGATAGATGAAACTCAGGAAGGGGTAAATGCAAAGCTTAACCTTTGGAGAGAAGTGTTGGAATCTAAAGGTCTTCGCCTAAGCCGATCAAAGACAGAATATATGGAGTGCAAGTTCAGTGCAAATGGAGGCCAAAACGAGTTAGGGGTGAGGATCGGAGATCAAGAAATACCAAAGAGCGACCGTTTTCGTTACCTAGGATCTATCTTGCAAAAGAACGGAGAATTAGATGGAGATCTCAACCATAGAATACAAGCTGGATGGATGAAGTGGAAGAGTGCATCCGGCGTGTTGTGTGTGACCGCCGTATGCCACTGAAGCTCAAGGGAAAATTTTATAGGACGGCAATAAGGCCGGCGATGCTGTATGGCACAGAATGTTGGGCGGTGAAACATCAACACGTACACAAAATGGGTGTAGCGGAGATGAGGATGCTTCGTTGGATGTGTGGGCACACGAGAAAGGATAAGATTAGGAATGAGGATATCCGGGGTAAAGTAGGAGTAGCCGAAATTGAAGGAAAGATGAGAGAAAATCGGTTACGGTTACGGTGGTTTGGACATGTGCAAAGAAGGCCTACTGACGCTCCGATTAGAAGATGCGACTATGGGACAGAGGTTCAGGGCCGAAGGGGTAGAGGAAGACCTAGGAAAACTTTGGAAGAGACTCTAAGAAAAGACTTAGAGTACTTGGATCTAACGAAGGACATGACACAGGATCGAGCACAATGGCGTTCTAAGATTCATATAGCCGATCCCACTCAGTGACTTGGATTTTCCAAGTCTCCAACCGAGAAGTTTTCCTCACTCGGGAAATTAAGGGAACACTACCCCAACCTACATGCTCCACTCAGAAAGCTTCAACATACAAGCTTCAACAAAAGAAAATTCAAAGAACTTAGCGAAGAAGGCTTTGGTGTATTTAACACAATACGTTGAAATGAAGGAAAGCTTATTTATTGATATCCCCGATAAGCTACAAATATGTACATATACATGAGTCAAAATAAACACACAAGAGGGAGCCTTCACAAAGGTTGCTTAGGAGAAGTCTCAGCAGTCGGTAGAGCCCCAGAAAGAGAAGGCACCGGAGGGGGATCATTCGGAGCCTCAGTACTGGACAGAACCCTAGAAGGAGGAGGCATCAGAGGTTGATCATTTGGAGCTTCATTACGCGGTACAGCAGCCCAGAAGACGAAGGCAATAAATGCCTTTGGAACAAACCCACAAATCTCTGATGATCAAGTAAAACCTGACCATCAGTTTCCTTCATCTGGTCAAGCTTCCTCTTCATGTTTGTAGCATAGTCATGTGCGAGCCGGTGCAACTGTTTATTTCTCATGCTTGAGCCCTCTAATCTCCTGTTTGAGACTCATCACTTCAGCCGCCAATGATTCAACTTGGCGGGTTCGAGCAAATAGGCGTTGGGCCATATTAGACACAGAACCTGCACACTGAACACTGAGAGCCAGCGAATCCTTAACAGCTAACTCATCAGACCGTTTGGAAAGTAGTCTGTTATCTTTGGGAGTGAGAAGGTTCCTGGCCACCACCGCAGCGGTCATATCATTCTTCATCACGGAATCCCCAACGGTAAGAGGACCAGTAGGGGAGACGAAGGATGGGCGCCATATGTTGTCTGGAGAAGGCGGGGCTGCCTCTTCAACAAGGTTCAAGTCAAAACGACGGTCGGAGGGGCCAGACATTTTCAAAGGTGTTGAAGAGAGAAGAGGTCGGACAAATCAAGATCTTAGAAGTGCAAGAATGGAGCTTCTACTAGTGGAGATTCAAGTGTGCTGTAGAACTTAATGCCAGCCCCTATAAAAATCTGCACTCGACGGAGCTTCAGAAATCGAAGAGGCGCCTGCTCAGAAATCGAAGAGACGTTTGCTTTCTCAAAAGCTGGGCTGCTTAGAGACCACGAAGGTTGATATCAGAAATCGAAAAGGCGTTTGCTTTCTCAAAAGATGGGCTGCTCAAAGACCACGAAGGCCGATCTCAGAAATCGAAAAGGCGCTCGCTTTCTCAAAAGCTGGGCTCCTCAGAGACCACGAGGGCCGATCTCAGAAATCGAAGAGGCACCACCTACTTTTTCAGCCTTGTCAGCACCTGTCACACGCACACTCAGCTTTGCGGAAATTATGGGCATTCTGTCGAAGACTTCTGGTGAAGTAGAAAACACATGAATCTTACTGTTCAATCACCCACTTCCCACACGCAACAATAGCTCATGGGTACCACAGATAACTTTGCCAAAGTTCTCTGCCAAAGTTGGAAATGAACAGTACCACTGCTGGATAATTGGAAAAACCCTATGTGTCAACCTCTATGCTTCGTGGCAAGGTAGACTAGCAAACATGCCCAACCTTTACTCACATTTGAGAAAACACTCCCAATAAGATTACTTGCTCCAAAATCGAAGAGGCACCGTCCTCCGAATCTCAAGAGCCAGACTCCCAACATGACTACTTTCTCAAAAATCGAAGAGAGGGTAAAGGAACAGTACCATTGCTGGATAATTGGAAAGTCCCTGTGTGTCAACCTCTGTGCTTCGTGGCAAGGTAGACTAGCAAACATGCCCAACCTTTACTCACATTTCGAGAAAACACTCCCAACAAGATTGCTTGCTCCAAAATCGAAGAGGCACCGCCCTCCGAATCTCGAGAGCCAGACTCCCAACATGATTACTTTCTCAAAAATCGAAGAGACACCGCTCCCCGAATCTCGAGAGCCAGACCCCCAGCATGATTGCTTTCTCAAAAATCGAAGAGGCATCGTTCTCCGAATCAATCGAAGAGGCGCTCGCTTTCTCAAAAGCTGGGCTGCCCAGAGACCACGAGGGCCGATCTCAGAAATCGAAGAGGCACTTACTTTTCTAGCCTTGTCAGCACCTATCACACGCACACTCAGCTTTGCGGAAATTATGGGCATTCTATCGAAGACTTCTGGTGAAGTAGAAAGCACATGAATCTTACTGTTCAATCACCCACTTCCCACATGCAACAATAGCTCATGGGTACCACAAATAACTTTGCCAAAGTTGAGCACGTGAAGCTTGCAGCTCCCACTACATCGCTCTGACCAAGAAAGGTAAAAGAATAGCAAAGAAACAGCACTAACAAAGTTTAGACACATAAATTTTGAAGGTCTAGCTACCATATTATTACCCACAAGGGTAAAGGAACAGTACCACTGCTGGATAATTGGAAAGTCCCTGTGTGTCAACCTCTGTGCTTCGTGGCAAGGTAGACTAGCAAACATGCCCAACCTTTACTCACATTCGAGAAAACACTCCCAACAAGATTGGTTGCTCCAAAATCGAAAAGGCACCGTCCTCCGAATCTCGAGAGCCAGACTCCCAACATGACTACTTTCTTAAAATCGAAGAGACTGTAAAGGAACAGTACCATTGCTGGATAATTGGAAAGTCCCTGTGTGTCAACCTCTGTGCTTCGTGGTAAGGTAGACTAGCAAACATGCCCAACCTTTACTCACATTCGAGAAAAAACTTTTGCTTGCTCCAAAATCGAAGAGGCACCGCCCTCCGAATCTCGAGAGCCAGACTCCCAACATGATTACTTTCTCAAAAATCGAAGAGACACTGCTCTCCGAATCTCGAGAGCCAGACCCCCATCATGATTGCTTTCTCAAAAATCGAAGAGGCATCGTTCTCCGAATCTCGAGAGCCAGATATCACAGACCACTTTTTCAAAGTGCTCTGACAGAGTTAAAACATGTGAAGCTGGCAGCTCCCACTACCGTGCTAAGACCAAGCAGGGTAAAGGAATAGCATTACTACTTGTTGTTAGGGAGACTCCTATATATGTCGATCTCCATCCCCAACGGACAGGCAGACCTGCAAAAATGCTCAACCCTTCCTCATATCTAACAGGGCACTCCCAACGAAGCCTTTCGAAATATTCAGCTTTCTTTCCCCCCGATAATACCTCTGCAAACAAGCTATACTAGAGCAAGAATATCTCATATCATCAGGGTTAAAAGCAAGAGTATCCCATATCATGCTTTTTCCCTGTCTTTTCCTTTGGCCTTGTTCTTACCTGCAAGACAAGGAGAAAGAGAGCAATCAGTCAGCACTTGGAATCAAACTTCCAGCCAGGAACTGACTG